CCATACCCCCTAAGCCTTCTGGCAGAACAAGTTCTGACTTTTGAAACGAAAGGCTCCCTGGGGAGAGCTTTCGTGACAAAGACTGCCAAGTCGGGAAAAAAGAAATGGCCGAGCGATGAAACATTAATTGCCGGAGTCGGAAACAGGTCAGACGAGAGTCGGAAAGCATCCTGCCAGAAGCAATCACCACCGGTTGTTTCCAAAACCTGAAAACCCCTGCCCCCCACTTTCCGAATAGAGTAGAATGGGTGGCGAGCCCAATCTTAAACGGAGTAAGTCAATGCAAAATCCCAAATCGGAAAGGGCAAGCCCAACCCGAAAAGCAATGTTTGCTCCCGAAAACCCAAACCCTCAAGGAGCAGGTGATTGCGAAAACTTGATTAAGAAAACTCCAACCCCAAAAAGAGCGCCGGGCTCCCGATACCCCAAAACCCTCAAGGGGTTGACTGGTTACGGGTTCACAACAACCTAAAACCCAAACGGAATGCATGCTACATGATCAAGAAAAGGAGTGACTGCTTCCCCGAAACCCAAACCCTCAGAAGGAGTGAGTGCTTGCGAGAAATTCCGGATTCACTGTTCAGCAAAAACCGGGAACTCCCTAATCGAGCAGCTGCAGAATCTCAAACTGCCGGAAAGAGTGACCGGTTGTCAAAGATCAATTTAAACCCTAAAACGACATATTGGTCCACCGAAACCCACACAAAAACGACAAAACCAAGTCTTAAAGGCACGAGTGGTTGCGAAAAACAACCAGCCCCAAAGACTGTTCAAGAGGAGCGACTGCTTCACCGAAACCCGAACGCTCAAATGAGCGAGCTGTCTTTTTTTTTCGCCAGGGCTGTGGGCAGGAGTAGTACCCCTGCCTGCGCGCGTCAGCGCCCCCGTACGTTACGGGGCGAGAAATGAGATTAGATGCAAACAATCCAAAGGGTGAACGATGTACTGGCAAAGGCTGCTTTCAGGGTGTTCCTGATGTGTTGTATCTGTTCGACTCGGAGAGAGCTGGGCATCGCGAGTAGGCACACAAACGAACTCAGCATCCAAGCAATCCGAAAGTCACCTAATTCGCTGTCTTGCGCGCCCAGTTCTCAGAAATATGCAATCCCCATCGGCATTCTTAAACTTACAATGGTTGGGGATGTATTTCTTTCTTAGCATCCTCACCCCTTTCCAATCATATCCTTTTTCTGTAATGTTCTCCAGTTGCTCCCTGTAGAAAGCCCGCTTGTCTTGACGTAAATGTTTTTGCAGCCGCTTTTCTCTGACTTCTGCCTCGTGATGTTGACCTCACTGAATGGTTTGTTGCTTGCTGCATGGGAGTTGCCACGTTTGTTCAGAAATGTTTTGTTTTGTTCTGGTTTGTGGGGATGGGCGTAGAGGTATGCCCCGCTGGTTCAAAACTTCTGCCTATACTTCGAAATGGTCTGCGCTCTCAGACGGCTTGGCCGCTTCAATCAGTTCTTGGACTTTTTCGTTGAATCTCTGTATCTGTTCAGTTTTAGGCTTTAGGGGTTGGGTACCGCGCACTTCTTGCTTGACAAGAGTGTTTCTTTGCCGCAAGTTTCGTACGACTTATGATCCATAGTGACTCCGGTTTGCAGGTTGCTCTCTGCATTCGTAACAGTGTTCTTCCATTTCTTGTTGATCAACATGAAGTCTAATTGTCCATATCTGTCCAGAGTGTAGGGGGGTGGAAGTTAGGGGCTGCTACATTTCTGTAAGTGATCAACTTGGATTTGTCTTTCTGAAACAGGGTGTTGACGACAGTGAGACCATGCTCCTGACATAACCTGATGAACCTGGCATCTTCCCTAATCATATGTTCGCCGAGAGTTTCTGCCTCGTGCGGGTGCCTTTCCATGAGCCTAGCGTTGAAGTCTCCCAATATTATATTCGTTTCGCGCTGGGGGATACTATCCAAAACCTTTCCTAATTCATTGTAAAAGATATTCTTGTCCTCCAGACTTCTTCCCGCATGCGGCGCATAGGCAGCAACAATAATTGTTCGTAGTGGCGACGTGTCAAAAGTGATCATCAGTATTCCTCCATTTACTTGTGTAACATTATATTTGTACTTCTCTAGCCTCTTGTGATATACGATGGCGACACCTTGCTTCTTCTGCATCTAGGTTGCACATCTCGATTTCGGATAAACTTGGTTCTTCCATATTTCTTTGTTGTTGCCTGATTTGTTCGGCTTCTTTTTTGAGTTCGTATAGTACTCCCGTGGATAAGCAGAAACAGTAATCTCCATTGTAGCAGAATTTGCTCCGGTTTCTTGCAACGCCAATACATCGGTTCTGTTTGTTACCATTGTGTGTACTACTTTCTGTCTTCCCGAGCTAAGCGAACTAGCGGATGCAGAAAAGCCCGAGAGTGAGTGACAGTTGCCAAAACCCCTGAACGGGCGGCAAGCTCAATCCGAAATGGAATGAGTTAGTGCCGGATCTCAAATCCTAAATGGAGTGACCCGCTGTCACCTTGTCAAGCCACAAGAGCTATAAAGTCTAGAAACACATTCGTTGATTCTTCTCTGCCCGGATCCTTTTTTGACGCTCGCCTCGCTTGTTTCCCACTCCGCCCGTCTGGTATTTCCCCCTCTGTTTCCCGACTGGTGCTTCCTGGGCCCATATGACCGAGCTAGACTCTGCAGATTCCAATGATTGCGCAACTTCAGTGACTGCGGCTGCGGCAAGGCAAACGGTCATCTATGGTGATTGCCTCGGACGGTGATTGGAACCCATCGACAGCTTGCGACATGCTGCCAAGCTTGGCACACGACTCTCCACTCGCCATCCAGAAAGAGATTCACTTGATAGCAGCCTGCTTGATTCCTGCCATGTAAAACCGATCTTGAGCTTCAGAGGGTGTGGCACCTGGTCGACCTCTGCGACTCGGTCGAAACCTTTTGTCCACCTCCCTGTCTCTCGTCCTGGCTGTGTCGCCGAAGAGCCGCAGCACCAGGTCCGGACGCTCTGCCACCACGGCCAACGCCTCTAGTAGCAAGCCAGAACTCCCATGTACAAGTGTAAGAGCTGAGCAACGGGCTGACATAAACCAGCAGTCACCCACGCCACCCTGCCGCAGGTCCTGCTGCAACAAATCGCCCCAAAACTGATGTATAATTATGCATAGCTCTCCGAGCCTCTGCACGAAAACCGAAGTCGCTGACGATCATGAACTCCGGAAAGCGCTGCCACCAGATCTTTTCGCGACCTGACACGGTGTCCCGGGACTATCTCCGACCCGACTCTTCGCGCAGACTGGGTTCCTGACGTCGATGATCTGAGTCTGCCCAAGCGAAGAAGCCACAACGACGTTTCTGCGAGGAACAGCGGTCCATCAAGTTGAGGTTGATCTCGCGTACAGAACCGTGCAGATCAATCGGCTATCACCGGCCTCACAATGCCAATACAGTCGACCCTGCACAAAAGAAGACAAGAATCAATTTGCTGGCGGTATCAACATCACTATGCAAGACTGCTCCTTTGTCGGACCATCTTTCTGCACCTGCCCCAGAGGCCGAGTCACGCAACAGCTGCAAACTCTGGACATCTCTGGACTGCCTCTGACTTCCTGGAAGCTTGGCCACAGCGGCATTGAGGCGGCTCATTAGGCGATTTCAGCGACTCCTGCAGTTCAGCACAGTGCTGTCTCGGCTGTAGAAGCCACCTAAGGCACAAGGCCTCCTCGCGCCCACAGATTGATTTCCTCAGGCAAGGTGCTGTGCGCTGCTTCCCCGCGCTGTGAGTCTGTGGCCCCCACGGCTCTGCCGGAAATTCGGGGTCTTCGTACGGAGCCTAAACAACACCACACTCTGATACCCAAGCTTGGATTCAAGGTCAGCGCGACGCACACGACCTACACTGCCAAGGCTGGAGGTCTTTGTCATGCTCGCTCTCTGCGCGCAGCGCTGTATGGCTGGCTCTGAAAATTGGTACAAGTACATGTTCTACGCATAGCAGCCACACACTTGCAAAAGACAAGCTGAAGCTTCATCGACTATCCAGCTACGCAGCGGCTTGTTGGCTGCCCTATGCCGCGACAGCAAGAACGAAAAGAACAGCATAGTCCTGCTTGTTGCAGCCAGTTTGTGGGGGCATCGATTCGCCTGGCAGGGGCAAATCACAGGAACAGGTAGGCTCTAAACTCCGCTGATATCGCATTCCATATGCACCAGCCACAACTACACCGGCTGTGAAGCCCTTCACAGTGCTTGCACGTGTTTCGCTAATTCGTAGGCCGTGGGGTCTTTCTGCACCTGGAAACTTTGGGCAAAGGCCTGATCCCAACACCTGCAATGCACCTGGTCGGACAGGAAACTGCAGCTCCAAGTCGTTGGTGGGCTGGCACGAGCCGCCTCCAGGCGTGTAGCGAGCTGACCTGCACGGAAGGTGGGTCACGTCGTAGAGCTTCCCCTTACCAAGGCTCCACTTTTGTGCCCCACTTGCATCCTTCTCGGAAACCGTCAATGTTGTCGTCACTTCGCGGTCACCGGTCACCATGTACTTTCCCGGGGGTAGAGGGAACCTGGGATTGACTGCCAGCAAATTTCTCAAGGCACGGCAAGCTACAACATTGAGGCGATTCGGGCAGATCACCAGAGCGTGAAGGTGTGGAAAACTCTACTGGGCTTTCGAGTTAGGCTTAGTGTGACCAGCTTGGAGAGGGTTGCCAGCTCATGGGGAACTGAAAGACACTTCAGATGCCGGGCGACTCGGGTTTTTCCATGATCAGGCCATGCTCCTCCATCCACCAATCATTCTTGTCGAATTCCCACTTGGCAGGGGCGACACCTCCCCGAGCCATAAGCTTATCGTAGTTGTAGAGCTTCACACCACGGGGCCCGGGATCTTTCCTCCACAGGCCCCAGTTCTCTGCTCCAGTTCCAGAACTGGCCGAGGGATCTGAAAGCGCAGCAATGTACTGGATGTCCCGCAGCTGCTTCCACTCGACCTTGGATTCCTGCGCCACAGCGGGACTGGAAACGGCAATACCTGGCAGGGATGCCAGAAGTCCACGACGGCCAAGAGCAGAGGCATCTTGTGAATCCTGTGCGGTCGCACAGCCCGCCTTCTCCTTACCCTGGCAAGCGAACGTCTCTGGGTCCGGGCTTCTTGCTTCGTAGAGGAAGACAACGAGAGCCGCAACAAGGGCTGCTGGCCTCGCGCGGCCTGCCCTCATGGCTTTGGCAAGACTCAGTGTGGCGTCCCTATCAACTCTTCTGAAACTGTGCCGGAATTGTGCCGAACACACAGCCACAAGTGATGGACAGGCCATCGAACACTACTGCATACATGGAGGTCTAAATTCCCCACAGACAGTTTCACGTGTGAACTGTTGGATCCCTGCCTGTGCGGATGCCAGAAGTTTATGCCAGTCCTCGATACAATCTGGAAGCAGAAGAATCCAATCAAGATTTCGATGCTGGGTTGCCCGCGTCACGTGCGCGTTGTAAATCTTTGTTGGTCACAGCCTCAAAGTGGAGTAACACAGAAGGCAATGCCCATGGCTAGCGTCAGCTTTAGCTTCCAGTCAGCACTTGAGTAGAGCACATCATCTCCGCAGACGGTGCAAACAGAAGGCCCCGGATCGCAGCTGCGCTGAGCTGTAGCGGTGCCAGGAGTAGTTCCAGAGAAACATCTGCCCCATCGCCGTGTCGGAGGGACCGCGGTTTTGCATTCTGCCCCAGATCTGCTTGCCAACTCCGGGAGCAGTTCGCTGTGTCGCTGCACTTCAGTGTCAGACTCGAGATCTATTGCCGGTGCCAGCATGGCTTCGGCCCAGCGTGAAGCGAGACATCATCCCCCACTTTTGCTGCAACCCCCTAAGACTCTTCAAAACTGCAGCACCATGTTTCTGGACAAGCGACTTTTTGGCTTGCTCGATCGAATCCCATACCAAGCCTCCTTCGCCATTAAAGCTTTTCAACGGTGACCCCAAGGTACCAGCTTTACCCCAGCTGGTACAAGCTGAAGCCATACAGAGCGGAGCAAATGTGCAGAAGTGTTGTGGGTGAAACGGAGAACAAGAAGACACGAAAAAAAGAAGAGCAGTCAAATGCAAGTTCTCATCCAGCTTTTCACCACTGCACCCAGCTCATGTGCATTTCACCTTATCCTTGGTCCTTGCTCCAAAGCAAAACAACTGCAGAGACTTGCACATTGCGGTGTCTTTCCACAAGGCCCCGGTCGGATCCGAGCACCCTCCACCCTCCTAGAACAGACTCTACTTGGTTGTAAACGCACTTGCGGAAAGGGCCGCAGTAGAGTGTCACACCGTTGTATAAAGACTTCATGAGTCTGGAGAGAAAGAAGAACACTAAGAAGAACAGCGAAAACAACGAGACACTGAATGAACAAAAGGCTTCACATCCCTTCGCAAGAACTGGCGCTTTAACTTCAACATCCACAAGCCGACAGATGGCCTCACCGTGCCTTGCTAAGCGCCACAGAATATCACAGCTGCAACCACAATTTCTTGTCAGGGCTCATAGTGTGTTGGTTTCGGGTCGAGCCACCCTCGCAGGCAAGCGCCCCATCGCGTAGCAGAGATAGCCGGTCGAATGAACTAGCAGCTAGCAGCTAACACAGCGGAGTCTGTCGAAACTCCCCTGGATCACACATCGACTTCCGAAGACGAGCCTTCGGGGCTCAACACAAGGGCCTGCTGCAGCTTGCTACAACACCTTTTGCGCTTTTATGCGTCGCACACAGTTCCCGCACGCTGCTTGGCAGAGGGGGAAAAGAAAAGGAGTCTCGAGAACATTTGAGCAAGGGAAGCCGGACCTAGCGGTCAATTGCGCGGCAATCCCACAAGACTCCGCAGCTCGTCTTGAAACTCAGGCTCTGCCCTGCACTCATCCAGTTCCTCGCCGAACAGAGGTCCTCGCCCGTGCTCGCCTCCAAGAATTCTACCTCTCAGCTGGCGGGCCGCTGCGCAACGCGGGTAGTCTCGCCTCGATTTGAGTCGGCTCATCTGCCACTGCAAATGCTTCGCTAAACCCGGAAGATCCTTATCGTCCATAGCACTGCGGAAAGCCAGTGTGCTGTCATGAGGAGCTGGAAGCTGCAAAGGCGGAGCAGACTTTCTCTCCAGTCTGTCAGGCTGCACATGAGATATCAGAGCTTCCATGGGGTGGGGCACTCCAGAAACCTCTTTCGACTCACGAGCTGACTTTAGGTCCTGTTCTAGCCGGGCCTTGCACTCTTGCAATGCCCCAAGTTCTGCCATTGCCTGCTTCAAAACCTCTTGCTGACCATCGAAATTCCTCTTCAGCTCGGCATGCTCCCGTTTGAGAGCCGCGTGCTCCTTGCCCAAACCGTTGACGGCCGCACGCTTTTCGAAAAGCTCGTCTCGCACATCTGCCGCGTGTCCTCCGAGAACATGCAGGTCTGCCTTCAGAGCGTGAAGCTGCTGCTCTCTGCTATGAACCTTTGCCAAAGCCTCCTCCGACCGCTCTTCTGCTTTTGCTCTGGCAAGAGTATGGTTGAAGGCATCGACACGGGAAAGCTGCTCGCGCTCCTGTGCACGAAGGAGTTGTACCTGTGCGCCACGCTCCTGCTGACCCAGCTCAGCGCACACCTTCTCAAATTCCAGACAACGATCCTCGTACTTCCTGGTTTCGGCCTTCTGCTGATGCAGTTCCCCATTGACATCTTCCAACTTTCGTGTCAAACCTAGGACCTTGGCCTCCAGCGATCTCACCTGCTCTTCTGTCTTCTCTCGGAGCGTTTTTTCGTTCCTCCATTCGAGCTTCACCCGTTCGATTGGAACTAGCTGTTCACGCAGATCCTCCTGTGACTTCACTGCATCTCGCAGCTTCGTCTTAAGGTTAAGGACCTCCTGGCGCAGGACCTCGACACTCGGTGCACCCGGAGTCGGGGCTCCTTTGTTCCCTTTCTCACTGATCGGGGAGCTCATGGCGCATGTATCTGACACTTCTACTTCTACACAGTCCCTTAAGCCCTAAGCCCTTCCTGCTCACCATGACATGGCCGTCTCATGACCTCACCAATGGTATCCAATGCTCCTGAGGGCTGACATATGCTGCTGTATGCTACATCACATGCGCACACGGTGGCGAGCCAAAGATCTAACGAAAAAGTCAAAAAAATGTGTGCGAAGCACTGGCAGCTGGATTGCAACGCTTACCTCTACCCCAGAACATGCAACACTGAGAGCACCGTGTCAAGAAATGTCTCAATCGACTTTTGCAGCAATTCCTCCTCCATGGCCATGACAGCCCGCTCCAGGTACGACCTCCTGCTTTGCTCTCTGTGGAAAATCAAGATGGCCTCCAGGCCTCCTGCAAAGAGAACATCGCTTGCGCTGTGGCCACCCCCACCTGCATCTTTCGGCAGCCGGTGGTCTACAACCTCGTCACGTTGGAAGTTGTAAGTCCGGATCTTCTCAGATCGGTCTCCAGTGCCCTTTTGATCCTTGCGCTCGGCGCGCTCGAATTCTGATCTGGCTGAAATCTGTCGGTCTAGAAGCTTTGTCCGCAGCATTTCAATTGCACGGATCCGATTCTCGTACTGCGACTGAGAGGAGGTACTCTGCACTGAAAGCCCCGTCGGAACGTGGATGGCCCGAACTGCCTGATGCGCCGCATTGACGCTTTGTCCACCGGGGCCCGAGGACTTCTTGCTGATCTCAATTCGGAGATCGCCGGCGGCGAAGTCCACATCCTCTTCGTCAGCAATCGGCAGAACGACCACGACTGCGCTGGAGGTCTGCATACGGCCCTTTTTGTCCGTGCTGGGCACGCGCTGGACGCGATGAACACCGGACTCGTGCCGAAGCCAGCCGTAGGGAGCTGTCTCCTTTGACGAGTCAAGCCACGCAAGTCAGTTTGAGCTCGACACCTACAAGGATGTCCGTTCATTCTGCCGGCACCTCGTCAATTCCGCCAGAAACGCGTGCCTGTCAATGCATAGCTATTCATCAAATGTAGTCCACATGAAATCCACAATCATCCAACCCTTGCATTCTTGCTGATAAACTTGTTTACCGCTGTACGTCACTGTGCATCTGAGGCAGAAACGGAAGCGAACAGGACGCCTCCTCCCACGCCTTCATTCACAGCCTCCACCTGATCAGCCGGGCTTCAATCCAAAGAAGCAGGTGGCTGACCAATACTGGACACTTCGCACTCATCGATCCGAGTCTTACACAACTCATAAAGCCTGAAAGTGCCAGCCGCGGAAGTCTGAAAACTGCTCGTACCTGCGTGAGGTTGCTGCAGAGGAGCACTAGCACAGAATGTCACTTGGCTGGACTGGGTCGTGCATCTCGAACAGCTCCCTGGTGAAAATCGCCGCCTCCTTGACAGTGGTGTCATACTGGCGACACAGACAGAGGGAGGGCGCGTGACACATGAATCCCATGATGGCGCGTCTCACCTTTCCCAGCTGATTTCAAGACACAGTGAAACTTTGGCTACTCTGCTTGGCAAATACGCTGGAGGGTTGGAAGCATCGGCTGATGCGCGATGAGCTGAGAGCGCATGCCATATGGTGGATGGCATTACCACACCAGCCGTGAACTTGCTCAACCCTGCGAAGATCTTTTGAAGAGTCTTCGCAGCAAATGAGATGGAATCTGAACCTCTGGTTCTGGATGGGGAGACCATCAGTACTGTGTCTTGCAGCATTCAACTTTCACAACAGAGATACTTCTTCGAACTATACGAGTGGAAGTGTGAAGCACCTTGGTCCCAGCAGTGACCTGCTCTGTAGAAACCAAGAGATCTTTGCATCTTGGACCCCTCTTGCACCAAGATTCCTCAAACATGGCTGCATGTGGGGGCCATCATCCATCGGCATCGGATACTCGCATCAGCCATTTCTGCCGAGCCTTAGTAGCTTCGGATTTTGATTTCGCAGCAGAGAAAATGGACACTGATACCCGGGTCCCGGTCAAAGCATCCGACTCAAAGGCTGTATGAGCACCTTGCCGATCTGGAACAGAAATTGGCATTAGTGAGACTGCCGGCATGAGTCGAGACACACTGTTAAGGAGATTTTGTCCCATTCGGAGATACGCTTCAGCATGTCTGCGGCCTTCAAAGATTGACCTGGGCCGAGCACGGCAAAAAAGCAATAACGCTCAATGCATCTCAAAGCACTCCAACATTGACAAATGATGATGCATGATGAAACGGGTGAACCGCCTACCCTGGGCAAATATCAGGAGTCCGTCAAGAGCAGCTCGTTGCACTCCGTGGGGGACATCTAACATGGCAACACACCTCCTAGTTCTTGCGTTTGGCTGGAACAAACGGTTGTTGGTGCTGCTCTTGTCTTCCTCTTCTGCCTGCTTTTTTTGGGAAGTCAGAGTCCAAGACAAGTCAACCCACGTCTGCCAAGGCTGTACCCCGCGACAGCCCGCTGTGATAAGTCAAGGGGCCGTTGATCTCAACTATTCGGTCTTTTGGCTCGAAGGTCCCCTTCGGCATGTCCGCTGCCACACCTCCGGTTACCTCCTGATGCAGAGACATCTCCAAGATCAGTCTGACAGACTTTAGCTACCGGACGAGTCCTTCACAATTAGACCCAGGCATTCGTCGTCGGAGTTCAACCGAAGCCCCACCTAGAGCGCAGCAAATGCATGAAGCAAGCACGAACTCGTTTTCAACCGCGTTTTCAACTAGCCTGGAACATGGCAACTTGCATCGAAGCTGAACAGAGGGCCTTCTTGCCGTCCTTCTTCATAAGCACTTCCTGTGCATGGCGGATAGGGTTCTGCTCGCGCACACACAACCAGCAGGCGAGGTAGAAGGTCAGTAAGTCATCTTTCTGCTGCGCGAGTTCTGACAGTGGCGCTCGGTGTATCAGGCGAGCCTTAATCTTCGGACGTTCCATGTACAGCTCGAGATCATTTGCTTCCTTTATTCGTCGAACGAGCTCGGCGGATTTCTTTGCTTCGCCGTTGACTTTGAGCACCCGGTCGTAGACTCGAACACCCCTTGGTGGAGCAGTTCGTTGCAAGATGTTGAAAGGCTTGGATTCGGGAATGGGAGCTCTCTGCCGAGCCGAGGATCTTCTTGTCAAGCACGCCACCAAGATCAACTCTTCTAACAACCTGGGGTACGCCGGCTACGTGGCACCACGGCTGTTTCGGCCAGAAGACAGCCAAGCAACACAGCAATCTTCCTGAGAAGGGTCCAGCCCTCCTCCCAGCTTCCCGCCTTCCTGACGGCGCAGCTCAGAGTCTCAGAGCTACAACCTCTGCTCTCGCTGGCTGTCCTTGCTCACCTTCACAACATAAGATTCTGCCGGTTGGCGTACCGAAAGTGCGGAATCTGTCCTGAGATGCATCCACCGCCAATCGAGAATGCAAAGCTTAGCCAACAGCAAAGAGCCAAAGCGGAGAAATGGCGATGTAAGTCCGTGCTTCTGCTTCGGAGCCGGTGGAGCCGGTGGAGCAGGTGGAGGCGGAGCAGGTACCACTTTGATTTCTGGAGTCTCGGCCTTAGCCTCGACCTCTGGCATGCTGCTCTCCTCTGTCTTCAGCGGCTTCGCTGGCTCCTAGAGGCGACAGAAACAAATCATCACATGAAGCGAGCAAGAGGCATCCGCCATCACATCCCAGCCCCATGGCCATGCGACGACTTGCAGGTTTTTTTGTTTTTTTGCGGTGGTGATTGCGCAAAAATATTTCAAAGTTGGCAAGACAGGAACTGCCGGTCACTTTGACAGGTGACCAGCAGCGCAAAGCCAGGACTAAATGAAGGGGGCCCTGGGCATGCCTGCACGAAGGCTGCGCGCAGCTCCATTGTCTCTTCTTCCTCACGAGTGAAGGTCATCTTCTAGCCATGCACAGCTGAGAGATTTGCCAAGAAGTTTTGTCCCGACCAATGCGGACCAGTTCAGTGAAGGTTCCTTTGCATCTGGCGGTGCTGGTACTGCGGTGACGACCTTGCGAGTGTCGCGCCTTACAAAAGCTGAGCTGTATGGCAATATTCAATGCCTCCTCTGCAGGAGCCTCATTCACACAGCATGCGCACCTCAGCATCAAGGTCTTTCAGCCAGCAGACCCAGTGGAATCTTACGAATGCAGCCAGAGCACCACATGCCGGGCACTCTGCAGGCCCCCGGGGGCTGGACAAGCTGCTGATTGCCCAAAGGGCTTCGGGATGCAACAGGCTGAGCTGACAAGCTGAATCGCAACAAGCAGGCAGCAACACACCTTCAAGGTAGAAATTGCAGTGTCGTGTCCCGCAATCCTGGCCACCCACCCCCGGAGTTAACTCCAGCATCGCGTCCCGGCCTTAGATAACACTATGATCAGTGACTGCCCGAACAACCTCCACATGGAGCTCCAAATCGTGTCTGCCGAGAGGCCATGCATGTTACATAATTACATAGCATCTGTTCCAACACCACTTCCGGCGCCATGCGTAGCAGATAACTTGCAAGGAAAACAAAAGCAAAGTATCCTTGATACATTTTCTGGGAAAGCGAACCTCTGCCCACGACCATGACGAGTTCCCTTGCTATCCGACCCGGAGTCCGCAAATGCTCAAGTATGCGTCCCTACAATGCGCGTGCCCGGGTCAAGGCAGGGCTTCCCAGCACGTTGTATGCACATCTGAGAGCGACGCTATCTGCAGCAGCTGAGTCATGATGCAGTTTTCCGTCTTCAGCTGAGCGGTTGAACAAGAGCAGCTCCTGGAAATCTGCGAAGCTTGATTTTCGAACCTGCCATCAACTTTAATCGCGAATGCCAACAGCGGCAGTAGCTTTATTTGGGGCCGAAGTTGGGAAGCTGTTTGTCCATCGTGTGCCGTAGCACTGCGTGCGAAGCTCCCCCTTTCACACATGCCTCGCCGAAATATTCAGGCATGTTGGCTGGACGAAGAATAGACCGGCTACAGTGGGGCAGGACAAGGGGAAAAAGAAGTACAAAGAAATGTGAAAAGCAGAAAAAGGTGTGTCTGGGTATTGCATGCGAGGTGGCATGGGGGGTGGGCCTAGTTAGATGTGGGACATGGGCGCTGACTGCAGAGGCTGCTGGGTTGATGCTATCGGCATTGGCAGTGGTCGTCTTGGTGTGGGTGTTGGAATTGGCATCGTCGTCGTGTGGTGGTGGTGGCAGTGGCGGTGGCGGTGGCAGTTGTGTTGTTGTTGTTGTTGCTGTTGCTGTCGTTGTGCTTGTCTTTCATCTTTTCGCGCTCTTGCTCATGTTATTGATGCATCCAGAGCCCTGTCACTTTTGGCCAGATGCGATCTCTGAGAGTCGCAGCTTGGTTCGACAAAAAGGTCTATGACCGCTTTGGCGACCGCTGGCTTCGTTTAGCCAGCCAGCAAAAGAAGCTGTAAAGCTTGAGCTTCGCTCGTTTCCGTGGTGGTGGGGTGGATGGGCCCTGCAATTTCTTGAGTGCAAAACGACGGCCACATCCGTTTCAGGACCTTTGCATCAAACCCCAGCAAGCAGATACTATGATGCATCCAGAGCCCTGTCACTTTTGGCCAGATGCGATCTCTGAGATTCGCAGCTTGGTTCGACAAAAGAGGTCTATGACCACTTTGGCGACCGCTGGCTTCGTTTAGCCAGCCAGCAAAAGAAGCTGTAAAGCTTGAGCTTCGCTCGTTTCCTCCCCTGACCGCAAAGCGCTCAGAAGAGTTGCTTTAAGACAACGTTTGCAATCTCTTTCACCAACTTGTAGGGATAGGGCTGCGCTAGCAAGATCAGAAAGCGGTTGTCAGCAGCCAGGCCGTGTAGACGAACGTGTGGCTTGCCAGTTGCACTACATGCAGCAGAGGTGCCTTTACACGTGCGTCCAAGACTCTGCAGCTGGATGCCATGACACATGAGGGTGGTGCTCTTTCGCCACCGAGTGTCGTATTGGCAGAAATCAAGATTCACAAAACGAATGTTCCCACCTGCAAAGATCTGCTTGAGGAGAGGCGTATTCCAACACCTGGGCGATGCAGGGTTTTCAAACACATATGGAATTCCGAGCAGTTCACACACGCAGAGAACTCTGCAACTGAAGTAGAGCAGGAGGTTGCCGTAATGCAACTTGCGACGGTCGTGTGCCCTAAGCCCCCTGAGGCCCATGGGACACTTGTCGCTGCGTAACGGAGGCGGACCAACACCATCATTTTTTTCTTGCAATGCTGAAAGATTCGCATGGCATGGCTATCCACACAAAGGCAAAATGCCTGTTATGAAGCAATTGCAAGAGTTGCCCTTCAACCTCAGGCTGGAGCACGTCATCAGATGCATGCAGCCCGATGTCAATGGCGTAGGCAGTGAGTCCTACCTCTCTAAGCGCTGACGTCACCCTGCCACTGCCAGCAAAGATTTCAAGACAGCTGCCTTTAGGAGCTTGGCGCCATTCTTGCCACAAGGGACTCAGTGGCTGAGTGGGTTTTTGGTGCCCGCCAGAACGGCTCCCATCGCGCTCTCGGCACGACGGCAGTAGTCCAGCGCCCAATGGGGCAAGCGGTTCAACAACGTCTGTACTTTGCCCACCTTGCCATATCGGCGAACGGACGTGTCGGTCCGCCACCTTCCACGGTCCTTCACCGCCGCATACTCTCTGGTCTTGGACAGCAAGTCGTCCGCAGCACCGCCATGACGTAGGTGTGCAGCCCGGGCAATCCCAACCAACCTCCGGCTGCTTCGAACGCCTTGCGGTACTTGTTGCTGTCGACGGCAAAGAGCGGCTGGTCCTCCTTCTTGCGCACCTTCAACTTGTCTAGCACCTTGCCCAACCAAGTCGAGGTCAGAGGGTGGTCCAGGGGCAGTGAGTTGTTGAAGACGCCAGTTTTGTCCGGCACTCCGTCCTCCTCGTCTCTCACTACCACCACGTACGCTGTCCACTTCCCCGAACCGGGGAACCAGGTTTTTCACCTTCAACGCGTGGGCTTCTCCCGGGCGCAGGTACGCGCCGAAGGAGAGGAGAACCATCAACGCCATGGACTTCTGTTGCAAACTCAGTAACCTCATGGCGATCCCAAAAGCCACCGTTCTCGGAAGGGGCAACCGGCTCTTTGGCGGGACCTGTTTCTCCACCCCTCAGCGCACGACGGCTTCGCAGCAACGTGCCCTTGACCTTGTGCCAGTGGTACTCGACGGCTGCTAGAGTCTTCTCGCCCACGCTCACTCCATGACCTTCCTGGAAGAGGACATCGAAGAAGTCGGCCAGGAGGAGGTCGACGTCTTTCTGTGGTGGCCACCGCACACCGTTGGCCTTGCAGAAGTCCTTGAACCTCCTGAAGGAATGTTGGTACTGATTTTCCTGCTCGCAGCTGATGCTCTTGCGTTCCAAATGCGTCAGCTGACCCTTTTGGGCCTTCTTTCCCGCTGGGACCTCGTCCACTGTGAAACTGCAAGTTACGCTCCTCCTCTCGGAAACGACTCTCTTCTTCACAACCTTCTGCGCTCCAATGTTCTTGACTGCAATGTCCCCCGTTGTTGGCATGGGGATCGTCCAATCAGGCATCGGGTCTCCTTGGGTCCCGGCGATGATTGAGGAATCGCCTTTCGCTTCTTTGTGGCGGTCTGGCACGGTATACCCTGGAGAGCTCTCACCTCTCGAAGGACCATCGGACCATCTGCGACATTTAGCTCGGACGGCACCCAACGCACCCGTAGTGTAATGTTAGAGGCAATCATGATGGCACCCACTTTCTGGTTCACCCTCAGCATCGCGTGATTTGCACTACGTCCCTTCCCTACGGAAAAGGCCAATGCCAGGTTGTCTACCAATACCAAGTGCTTCCTCCCATGATTTCTCGTTGTTCGCGCGATCCTCCGAACCGCTAATGTCAGAGTGCGAGCCTCCTTTAAAGTGATGTGCTCACGAGTGTGCTTCCACCGCCCTGTCTTAGCCACACGATAGCCCTCGGGATTGAGCAACTGAGCCGGCACCTCCTCGAAATTCTCGTTGTGCCCGTAGCTGTCAGACTGCTCAAAAGCTTCAGGATTTCGAGCTGCCGTGTGAAGGTCAACAAGAGGGTCACCGAGAGCCCGGCGCCGAGGCGCCCATTCCTCCACCGGCGTTCTCTTGTATCTCCATCTCTCATGCCATCGTCCAACCTGCTGAACAATATCTTCAGGAAACTCCTTCTCGCATACGCCGTAGCCTTGGAGTGAAGCATCCGTCACCGTCGCGACCTGACTCCAAGGTTGACGAAGATCCGCGACAAGCATGGGAAGGAGCCCTGCAAAGATTTCAAACTCCCGCTTGGCGCTCGGCCAAAGGTCTTTCCGCTTGTATTCCTTTGCCGCGAAGTCATAGGCGCTGCGAAAGATTCCCATACCTGATCGATTCAAGACCAAAACGACCATGCTGTGCCCAAGGACTTGTTGCACAAGCTTCGAGGAGACCGGATTTTGCAAAATGTGTTTGCAAACACGCCTCAACCTCCATGATCTCTCCGATGTTGTTTGCACCAGTCCAGCCTGACCGTCTATGATACCACCCAAAGTGGGGAAATAAGTGGTTGCATCAATCTCCTCATGCACCTCAAAGCCCCAGCCTTCGAGCACACTTTTTCACGTGGTTCATACCATCCTGGCTCTTGCGCGGATTCAAGCTGAGCATGTGCGTGTTATCGCAGTAAGGCATGGACACCGCCGACCCCGCAGTTAACGTTGGCGCTGGCCTCGCATCCAAAACCAATTGATCTTCGTGATCGCGAGAGGATCCCAAACAAGCTTGCACATGAAGAGCTTGCACAAGGTAAAAGGACCACGAGAAACCCATGGGAAGTACGCTCAGGCCTGGACGAACAAGTGCATTTGAGGGCAGGTCACGGAGCTCCGGCGGCACATGACCACCAAAGATCTCGGCAGCCTCGGCGACGGTCACATCGAATGAGAAGCAGAAATAACTTGTGAGATGTTCGGGTAGCCGGCAAGCGTAAAAACAATCCTTGATGTCCCCACCTGCAACATAAAGAGAGTGGCCCGGCGGGATGTATAACTCACCCACCGCTGGGAGTGAGCCTAACTCCGTCACCGGTGGCGCTCGGAAGAGCGCATTCACATGCCTGCAATCAAGTATGAGCCGTTGCCTCTCCCGCACAACCCCGTCCACCTCTTTAGGCTTCTTTCGAAC